GGGGGGAGGAGGGGGGGGCTCTGAAAGCTTTGACCGCTTATCCGCAAGCTGGGGGCGCAAGGGGGAAGGGAAGAGGGATGGAAGAGCAATGGTCTCATGGCTCTGAATCCTCTGCTTTTGGTGACACTGTTGGAAGAATAAGGGATAGAGAGAAAAATAGATTTCTCTTTAAAAAGTAAAATACAATTTTATTAGGACATTTCCCTCTTTTATGGGATGCTACGGATCAAGACTGCTTGGAAACCTTCTCCTGTATGTTTACATCAGTGTGCTTTTTAAACCTGTCTTTCTTCTCACTGAGTTGCAGGTGTTTTAGGTGCTGGCTTGTGCTATTCCAATTGATAAAGGAAGGGACTCGGCACATGCCCAGAGGTGCTCTCTACTGTCTAATGGGGGGGGGGGAGGAATACCAAAACAGCACTCGGGGTCCTTCCGGAATTTCTTAGCGAAGTCTAAAACATTTATTGGTTCGATTGTTACAAGGGCTCAGTTTGGGTTATGCAGTGAAAGTGTGTAATTTTCTACAGCTGTGACAGAAGCTTGATCACATGATTTTAGCTGAAAGTAGTGCATGTGTTCCTTGCCTTTTCAGGTGTAGGAAAAATGTAGATTGGCAAATTGTGGACAAAAATACATTTGATGGTGCAAAGTGGAAGAGGCTTGCTTGTTCAAAATTACACTGACTGGAACATTTGCAACCTGTGTTCCCTATTTTCATTCTTTCACTATCTTTGTCTTTCCACATTAGTATTTCTAGTCATAGATCATGCGGGATTTTAGTGTCTGCTCTTTTAGAAAAGTGCAAAGGAATAGATTTCAAAACTTCACAGCATGATTTAAGATTAATCACCTAGAATTAAGAAAGATTGATTTTTTTTAAATTCTTAAAATGACAGAAATGTTTAAAATTAAGTGTTAAATCTGACACATTTCAAATTGAATGCAACTTCCAATTCTAGGCTGTATTTCACTACTAGCATCTGAGGTATTAATAGATAGTTAAAAACTGTGTAAAAATGCATATGCTGTCTTTCCTTTAAAAGCTCAAGTTGGTGCAAAGGAGAGTCTTCTATTTTACTTTCACAATAACCTTGCAAAGTAGGCTGGACTGAAAGATAGTTATTGGCCCAGATTCTCCTAAGCATCTGCTATGTACAAGGACTGGACCTAAACAGTACAAAGACCAGATATGACAAGAGAAGCTTTGCAAATGACAATCTTTGCTATTTGGAAAGAGTTGGTACCCTCCAAACATTTCTGAGAATTAGAACTTTCAAGAATTAGGACACAAATTTAATGTCTACATCACTATAGCATCTGTGAACTACTATATTCTACTTGCAAAAATGTGATACATTTTGCAAAGTATAACGTGTGCACAAGCTTTGCAGTGTAAAGAGAAGAAAGTAAGCCAGAGTTATATAAATATATTTTGCAAATTGCCTCTATTCCTGCCTCTGGATGATGGGGCTTGTATTCCTTGCATTTTACTTGAAGTAGCTCTCTGCTCTATTTCCTTACCACAGCTTAGATCATCACTTTACCCATAAGCACACTTCAAAAGGGGAGAAGAATCAACCATTCTCTTATACAAACTGATTATGAAAATGATAATTCAAAATTATGGTACAAATGTTATGCTTCTTCAAATCAGCCCTGGCTCTTAGTGAATACAAGAAAAAGTATTGCACTTTTCTTAGTAAATATTTTGGTTGTGGTTTGCCAATTTTTTTTTTCAAAGTTGGGAAACAGGGACTGGCCCAAAGTCACCCACTGGCTTTCATGTTTGAAGTAGGACTAGACTCCCAGATTCTAATCTAGCACCTTTAACCACTACTGTCCTCCAGATTAGCTTGTATGATAAACAAAATCTTTCTTGTGGTTATAACAACAAATCACAGGTGTTCATGCAAATACCTTGCGTTCCCATGTGCTGCAGGTGCTTAGAGTTCAGCTTATAAGGCAAATATTCACACACAGATATTTGCATTTACAAGAAAATATCT